CAGTCCTCAAGTACGGCTGCAGGAGCACATGTTTGGGCAGAATCACTCTGGGAGGCACTTGTATTTAGTTTAAGTGACGCATCCCTTTTCTGAAATGCTTAGAACCAGAATTATTTCAGATTTTGTAATTTTTTGGATTTTGTAATATTAGCATAAACTTCCCCAGATTTCTGAAAATCTGAAATGTTCCAAAATCTGAAACTTTTTGAGCAACACATCAGCTCAAGTTTCAGAGCATTTCAGATATGAGACCAGAGGAGAGTGTACTACCTCATTTCTGTAACAGCAGGAAAAAAAAAAAAAAAGAAAACTATACCAAATGTAGAAAAAGACATAAAGGAGCAATGATACATGTGTGCACACTATATATAATAAAACACCCCACAATGGGAGCAGTCTACATTTATAAACAAAGGCAAATCTAGAGAACACGATGTTGATAGAAAATATGTGCAACATGATACCATTTTAAATGTTCAACACAATACTGCATATTTCATAGAAACAAAGATGTTTGTAGTATAAAATGTGAATGGAAAGTACCTCTTTAGGAGAGAGGTTTACCTTTGCAGAAGGAGAGAACAGAAGGAAATGGAATTAAAAATGGAGTAGAAGAGAGCCCTAAGTTCTCTCTGTAAGATTTATTTATTTTTAAACAGACATGAAGTACATGTGACTGTTGACGTTCATTTCATCTGGAGAGCAGATCTAACATTTGTTATATCATTGGTGTTCTTTATGTGTTTTTTTTTTTCTGTACTATGTTTAAAGGATTTCATAAAAAACATCAGTTTTTAAATGAGGAAAGGAAGAAGAAAACTAAATTTGTACAGTCTTTTTTCATGCTTGTGGTTTGGAGAATTCTTTGCCTGATTCCACTCTGAGAATCTAAATCAGGCCTGATTCTTAATATGAATGTGGTCTACTTCTCACAGGCCAAGAAAATCTTCCAAGAAGGCTGCCGTAGTGATTAATGTTAGGGGTTGTTTTAGTCAGTTTTGCGTTGCTGTGACTGAGAGACCCGACAAGAACAACTTAAAGGAGGAAAAGTTTATTTTAGCGCACGGTTTCAGAAGTCTCAGCCCATGGTGGCCAACTCCATAGCTCTGCGCCTGAGGTGAGGCAGAGGGTCACAGTGGAGGGGTGTGGCAGAGGAAAGCAGCTCAGGACACAGCAACCAGGGAGCAGAGAGAGAGAGAGCTCTGCTCACCAAGGACAAATAGAAACCCCAAAGTCATGTCCCCAGTGACCCATTTCCTTCCGCCACACCCTACCTGCCTACAGTTAGCACCCAGTTAATCCATCAGTGGATTAATCCAATGGTTACCTTAGGACTCTCACAATCTAATGGTTCTTGCATTGTCTGACACGTGAGCTTTTAGGGGACACCTCATCTTTAAACCATAACATGAGTCAACATGTCTGGCCCACGGTGCCCAGATATTTAGTCAAAAATTACTATGGCTATTTCTGTGAAGATGGGTCTTTCCCCTGCTTTGGATGAGATTCATAATTAAATGGGTGGACTCTGTGAAGCAGGTTGGCTACTCTGCACCATGCGGGAAGGAAATTTCCAAAACTAAAATGAATTACATTTGAAAATATTTTTTAAATGAGAAAAATACAAATTGTAAAATCCCTTCCTCAGGCGTCTGCCACATGGCTGAAGGTTTATGTACTCGTGACTCGGTGGCTGCAATGTAGGGAGGGAAGCTACCAATTTGCAGGGAGTCCTCTCCAAGGGTAGATAGAAAAGCCTCCTGAGAAGGAATCAGGGAATGACTTAGAATGAGGACCCTGGTCCCGACCCTTTAGAAGACGAGAAGCAGTCAAAAGACAGCCAGCCAACCTGCCTGATTGCATCTGGACCCCAACACCAAACTAATCCAAGTGAAAACTACCAGCGTGTTTGGGCACTAAGGAAAACTAACAGAAAGTGAAAACAAACTTTAGACTCCTATGGATTGAATCTAGTTTTGTTTCCACCAAAACCTATATTCAGGCTAAACCCCTCAGGGCTGCAGTATTGGGAGATGGGACCTCTCAGAGGTGATTAAGTCACTAAGAGGACTGATGCCTCTCTCCTGGGACTGGACAGAGTGAATTCTCGCTCTCAATGTTGGAATAATTCTTGCAAGAACCGGTTGAAACTAGGTGAGGCCCCCTCTCCATGTTCTTGGCTCCTTCTGCAGGCAACCTATTCCCCTCCTTCTTTTCCACCATGAGTTGAGCAGCACATGGCCCTCTCCAGAAGCTGAGCAGTTGTTGTCCCCATGTTCTTGAACCTCCAGAACTGTGAGTTAAATAAATGAACCTCTTTTCATTATCATTTACCCAGCCTTGGCTATTTTGTCATAGCAACAGAAAATGGTCTAAGGGTTCTTACGCACATCCCTTGTGGAACCAAAAGCCCAGTAAAAATTGAGACCTATTGGTTCTATGAATGTACATTCAAAAAGCTTAAATTTATGCTGGGAGAAGAGTAGATGTGAGGAGATTTTACATATCTAGATGCTTAGGACCTTCATTCCAGAATCTATTGGTCTTTGGATTTTCATCAAAATCCTATATCTAGGAGTTCAGAGACAAGACCATCTTGCCCTGCGTGTAGAGCACACACTGTCATAGGATATTTGGAGGCCAGATGCTATTTTGCCTCATCAGGAACCCAAGTAGGAAACAAGGCCTGAGCCCAAAAGCTCTTGGGTGCCTGATGCCGGTCGGTCCTCACAGCACCTCTGCGGGGCCTCCTCTGCCATCAGATGTCCTTGGTCATCTTCTCTTGTCATGCTTCCTAACTCACCCCTGGAAACTCACATCCCTTCCCATGGCTTCACTCACATGCTGGTGACTCCTCAGCTGATCCGTTCACCCAGCTGCCAAGTGGATATTTTCATGAGTGCCCCGAGTTTCACTTCAAACTCAACATATCCCACATGAGTTCACTCTCCTCCCTCTTGTCGCTTTCCTAAGCCTCGTCCGCATCCCCTGGGTCCCTTCTCTCGGCTGACATCATGACTACCTTCCACCCAGCCACAAAAGCCGGAGATCCTGTAGTCTTCATTTCCCTGTCCTCCCCTCCCCCGCCAGTCCCCATCAGGAGAAAAGGATGACAGTATGAACTTACAAGGACCCAATACTTAGGAAGGCAGAACGTGTCCTGAGAAGGGTGACTCACAAAGTCAAGGACAGAGGAGATGGTAAGCCAGCACAGAGCTTCCACCCCAAGATTTCAGAACAGGGCTCCTGATGAATCAATAATGGTATTTCCAAGATGTAGGGCCTGACCATCATCTCTCTACAGTGGGAACATGAAATGTGTTTTCCAAAAGCCGAAGATAAGAATTTATATGAACTATGTGGCTGTGTATTTATTTGTCATTGTATTATTGATTTTGCTGATAACTGACAAGTATTCGTATAAATAATAATAACAACAGCATATTTACATGTTATATGCAGAAGAACTTGAGTCTTATTTTTTAACCAAAGCTTGAATTAGATTATTAGACCAACTAGGTCTTCCCAGCTTTCAGCAACTATTTCAAATGGAACTGTGGGTCAAGTGCCAGAAGTTTTAATGACAAACATCAACCAACATTTTCAACTTTTTATTGCCTGCTGTGAAACAGACCACCGCCCATGTAATTAGGGATAACGGCATGTTCTGCCCAGGAACACAGAAACTACAAAGTGGCCAATTTCCTCAGTGCTTATCTTATAAGGAAAAAAAAAAAAGTGACACAGGACAGCAGAGATAACCATAGCGAACACATTTGCAGTTGGCCAGGGTGCTTTCTGTTCATCTTTGATAACATCTTCAAAGCAGCACAGAAAGGAAGGAGGCTTTCAACCCAATCCCAGGAGCAGGAGGGGACTCCTCCAGCAATGGACAATCGTGTTTGACGCCACACAGTTCTGTAACATTCTGACTGTAAATCAGTCCTTTAAGAGAAAGTCTGTCACAAAGAATTTGTTCTTTTTTTTAGGAGATTTGTCATGCTATGTGTTAGGCAGCTATTTTTTAGAAAGATGCCTTAAACATACTTAAACATAATTCAAACTAGGCTCACTAGGTCAAGCATGCTAAGTGGGAGAACTTTTAACATTTTTGTATGAAAGCACTTTTTGTTGTATATTTAGCCAACTGGGTCACAGTTTTTCTGTTTTTGTTTTAGGAGGTGCTGGGAATCCAACCCAGAAGGGTTTCATCTGTGAGCCCCGCCCCTAGCCCCAAACATAGACCTCATGGAAGCCAACTTAGGGCTTCTAGAAGCCACACCCTGGTCTCAAAATCCAAGAAATTAGAGGTTAGTGAAGCATGCACAAGCTGAGTAGACGGCGGTATTTCAATTAATCACAACTCTTGGGTCAAATATGGAACAATTGATTCATTAATACCTGTTCAGGACCCAACAAATCCACCTTGCATCCTTAACTACACCAGAAACAAGGAATCAAAGTCACAGAATTTTTAAATTAAAGATCACACAGTTTAATCTCTTCATTTAAAAGATGAGAAAAATGAGTCTCCAATAAATTGGTCGGATACAGAGAAAGACAATAGTTTGCATAAATTCCCTGGACTCCTTAAGGGAGCTGGTCAGAGCCTGACCTTCCCCCTGTGATTCCCCACCCTAGCATGGCCACCGGCAGTTGCCGACCCGACCCCTTGGGCCAGGGAGGACGGTGCCATTTGATGGAATCACAACCAAGTGCCCTCGTGTGAGCCAGCAGGAAGCCCTGCTCTGCCCACCCGCCCCCAGCGCCTGTGTGTGGGGCTGAATAACCGGAGCGCACACAGTCACCCTGAATGTGGACTGCTTCCCAAACAGGCGTGAGGAGGCCACTCGCTGAGCAACCTCTGAAAACCCGCTTTGTGGAAATGGTGTGAAAGACGCATTTGGGGCAGCACAAATGAAAGGAAGCTTTTATTCTTTCTGCCGTCCTGGTGGATTAGCAGAGCTCCATGGGCCTTCAAAGACCTCCTCCTCACTCACCATGGAACCAGGGGGCGATGCTGTCTGAGGTTTTCTGGTAGCCTGCTCGGCAGGGCAGCTGCTCCTCCTTGAACCACCGGATGATGTCCTCCTGGGCCGAGCTGGAAGCCGTCCTGGTCACGCCCTGATTGCTGATATTTGTGAAACAGTTTCCAAGTTAGAGCCAACTAATTTGAAAATAATATCCTCAAAAATATTTTATATATCCTGAGTGTGTGTGTGTGTGTGTGTGTGATACCCTCCGTGTCCAAATATTCCACACATCCTTGGATTCAATCAGTGGAGGATCAAAAATATCCAAAGAAAAAACATCATGTCTGTGATGAACAGGTTCAGACCTTTGTTCTTTGTCATTTATTCCTTAAACAATACAGTAGAACGACTATTTATGTAGTATGTATGTATTATATAACAGGAAGCTAGAGATGCTGGCTTTTGCTAAAAGCACTCTTTTGTTTTGTACCAGGGACTGAATCCAGGGGTACTTAACACTGAGCCACATCCCCAGCCCTATTTTGTATTTTCTTTAGAGACAGGGTCTCACTGAGTTGCTTAACCCCTGGCTAAGTGGGTGAGGCTGGCTTTGAACTCATGATCGTCCTGCCTCACCCTCCCAAGCTGCTGGAATTACAGGTGTGCGTCACCCACCTGGCAAAGCACTGAACTCCTTAGGCCTGTGCAGATGCTCAATGGTGAAGGAAAGCAGGATCCAGCTGGGCATCCCTGCCTCACTCTGCATCTGTCTCCTTTGTTACCTTAATATTGGGGTCCAATCCCTCTTCAGCTCTGCATGTAGATGCATTAATCCTTTAAGGAGGGTTCATCTAAAAGCTCGTGATATGAGGCTTATTAGCCCTGAGTTTACCTAACCTATGCCCTTCCCGTTCAAGGCTGAGGCAAGATGTGCCGCAGACTGTTTCCGACCCCAGGAGTGACACCCAGAAGTCCTCAGTTCTTGTCCTACACCTTCCAGGAAGCAGGAGGCAGCACATCACCCCTGAGGTGAGATGACCCCTGAGCAGGAGACCTGAATTGCCCCGCAGGACTGCAGGTCTGATTAACATTCTGAGCAAAAAGTGGAAACTGCTCCCTCAGGTGATAAGGATTTCTCCAGAGCCACCCCCAGAATCAGCCACACCAGTCTGACCAGGGCTTTTAACTACGCAGAGCTCCCCACCCCCACCCCACCCCCAACCCAATTCCTCCTCTAAGCCTAAAACTCCTGTCAGTGCTCCAAAGACGGGGCTGAGATGCTGGATCCCAGTTTGCCTTCCAGTTATGGACATCTTGACTAAAGTTCTTTTTCTAATTTTTCTTGGCACTTCTTAAATAATCTTTTCCTGAATTTAATATTACCTTTTCTGTTTGGTTTTTGGGGCAAGTGGCTAGATGTGGGACCCACCCATCCCACCGTCAGACTTCTGAGCTAGGATCAAGTAACATTAGGTATTATAGTAACCCAGAGATGATTTAAAGTATACAAGACTCTGTGCCAAGGTTGTATTAAATACTGCACCATTTCCTATAAGGGACTTAAGCATCTTGGTTATCTTGTGGAATCCTGAAACTACTCTCCCACAGATACTGAGGGACAGCATGTGTGTGCCATCTGTGTATACACACACACACACACACACAACTATATACATCTCAACATCTAATTACATGGACTGAGCTAATGAGCGACTGGACTCCTTGCATACCACCATTATACACTCCCCAAGGGTAGACAGAGGGAAGAACACAAATCCATCGCCTGTCCTTCCAGTACCAAAGGGAAAGTCATAGGTATGAGCTACTGCTGTGTTAAAACCTAGATTTAAATTCATTTTTAATGGGAATTAGAAGGACCATTAACTCCCAATTAAAATTTCAGAAAATAACCATTAAAAAGTTGAAATATACTTTTCAACTTTTTGAAAAGTTGAAAAGCACTATTTTCCAGCACTATTTTCCCAGAGAGCATTTACTTGCAAACAAAAGAAATCACATGTGATAGATAAATTCTTTCCTAATGTTTTCTTTATTTGATTTTTCTCTGTTTCCACTAACCTCCCGGACTGGCTTTCTTCTCTCCCCTATTTTGAAGAGGTTTAGTTGTACTAAAAGACAGTCTCAAAAACACAAAGTAAAAGGAAAAAGATGGTTTGAAGATTTGGAAGAAAAAATAAACAACTGGATCATTTTGAAATAAATTCAGTGGTAGGACTTGAGTTCTGGTATGTAAACAGGTTTCCAATACAAAAAGCAATGCTGCAATTAATAAATATATTTTAAAATCCTACTTAATAGCAGAATTATCCTGAGAAGAATTCACCTAAAAATAACAACAACAAATAATCTTGGTGAGCCGCCGGAATTTCCTATAATGTAAATTAATTTATGGCTCTTCGTGCTTTCTATGATAATGTGCATTACTGAGTCACATGTGATGTGTATTAGATATACATACATACATGTATATCTGCTTATACATGTATATATTATTCCTCATGATTTTCAGACTGTTTTAGAAAAAATATGCTATAAGATTTGATTTTACTGGAAAGCCACCATACATACATGAGATTGTATGATATATTCTTTTACTAGCTTCTAAGTGAGGTTCTTTTTCTCCAGAAAATCCTTGAAGATGGAGCAAAATTCTAAAGACACAGGTCCTGTCTTCTTCTGGGCTGGCTCCTGGATGACCTCTGGTCACTGTGTAGAGCCCCAGGCTCAACCCCACCCAGCCTGATGCAAGAGGCACCTCAAGCAGTACCTTAAGTTGGAAAAAATGAGCTGAGCAAAGCTCACAACAAGAACTGCCCTTTTAGAAAGTCCACCTTCGTTGCTGCCAATCAAATGCACTGTGCTCTAAAAATACTGCAGGGAAGGGACACATCACAAGGCCTTCTCCCATGCCACCCTTGGAAAACACTGGAGCACAGGAGTGAGCCACTCAGACAGCCCTGCCTCAGGCTCTGTGACCAGTGTGCACACAGACAAGCCTCATGGTGGACAGGGCTACACATGGGAGCCTGATTACAAAACTAAGGGGACATCTATCTCTTGTTTTGCTGTCCATAAGGAAAAAAGATCATTCCTCCAACTGTCATTTTGTAGAACGTGGTCATTTAGTGTTGGTCCCCACATCTCAAAATGGAACTTTTCAGTTGAGTAAGTAGAGATAATTATAGCAGAGGAAAAGGTCCACCTTTGTGTTTCCTCTGAGGTCATAATCCCTGTTAAGGAACAAAATGAAAACAAAAACCTTGATGATAACGACCAGTTCCAGGTCAAGGGAGATTTTGTTTGGTTTTCATTTCACCACCCTCCTAACAAAGAAGCGTTTTTAGCTTCTATTTCAGAAGGCAAGGCTAAAGACAGTTCTGATTCATTCGATCCATAATTAACTTTAAACATTTTCTTTCTAAATATTAGAATATTAGGGCCGGGGGTGGGAGGAATATAGCTTACCTACCATGCATGAGGCCCAAAGTTTGATCCCCAGCACCACAGAATTAAATAAATATTAGAATATCAAAAAATACTATGATGTCAATAGCCAGGTAAAAGTGATTTTGTAATCAGTAAACATGAGGGAGAGAGGTCTTCTACTGTGGTATCATTGCCTTTTTCTTCAGAGTTTTTCCAAAACAATTGTTCTTCCTACTGCCCCCAAAGCCTAGGAGGCAAAGTTTTCATTGTTACCAAATAAAGTGTTTATTCAAAAAAGGAACATGTGCAAATTCCCAAAGTATGAAATCAGCCAGGGATCTCAGAAGGAGAACTGCTATCCATCCCCAGCGGTAGAAACTTAGCGGTGGTGATGACATCGAAGTCCACCAGCCCGCAGGGTCCTACTTTACTGTCCTTTTATCACTAGAGGCATCCTGAGCATCCAGAGACCCAGGTGCTGGCTCTCCTGCGCTGCTGGGCGGGGCGCAGGAAGTCCTCTTGCTCCCAGCCATCCTCATCACAGTCTTGCGATAAGAGAGGGATGAATGCTGGGTCAGGAAGCAGGGCTAGAGGTGAGGCTGAGTCCACCAGCCTCCAGCCAGTCGCCCACGCCCATCACATGACTGAGCTTTGATTAACCCATCCCAAGGCTGCGCCTAGAGCCCCTGCTGGTTCTTACCCAAGAGGCTTTGGGGGGTGTCCCGCTGGGGGTAGGAACTGAGGCTTGGGTGGAAGGGGAGGCCTTCTGGGTTTCTGAGGAACACTCAGTCCCTCACCGCTTCTTCCTCTCTGGGCTGCCAGGGATAACCTCTTGTAGTCTTCCCGCGCCTGTTTAGCCAAGGAGCGTCTCTTCTCATCAGCTGCTTTGGATTTTCTCACTAGAAAAAGAATGAGGTTTGAGAAAGGCCCACGTCAGCCCACGGAGACAGGAGGAGACGGTGCATCAGGGTGCACAGAGCAGGGTCTGAGCAGCTAGTCAACCTGGTTCTATTGAGAAACGGTCACAGGGATGCCCCTTGCCTAGCTCCTAGGGCTAGCCCAGCGCTCACTCCCTCTCTTCATCTGGGAGCTGGGGGATTTTCACTGGGGAGCAGGGAGGGCTGAGAAAAGAGGTGGAGAACTTGTGCAAGAACTCCCTGCAGTGGGCAAGACCAGGTGATGAGCCTCAGAGGAGACCAAGGAGGCAGGACCCCTGGGGGCATGTGGCCACAGAGGAGGCAAGGAGCAGCACAGCTTGCCACAAGTCATGCTCAGAGCCTGCCCGGGACTGAACCACATGTGGCCTGGCCTGGCAGAAATACCCTTGGTATTATAAGTAATTTAGGAAAGACTTAAAAGTACACAGGAGGAGGTGCCCGTATGCAAATAGTGCACCATTTAATATAAGGAACTGGAGCATCCTCAGATTTTGGTCTCTCCAGGGGTCCTGGAACCAATCCCCTGCTGATACTGAAGGACAACTGCTGTGTGTCCATGTGTACACACACGCGCACACGCACACGCACACACACACGTTCCAGATAATTGTAGAACATGTTAGAACATGTCAAAATACCCCAATACTGTCTTTTAATATTATTTGTAAAAGAGAGAGTGTTTTGTTTCAGCCACATAATGTCAAAGACTCTAACGTGAGATGAAAGAATAATTTTTATTGAGTATATTTACACTTCAGGCTTTATTGGTCAAATCCTATTATAGTTGACTTCAAAGAGATACCAAAAATATTTCATTATACTAGGATTTCAGGGCCCAGCAGAAGATGGTTACTGACTGGATCTTGCAAATATTTTCTCTTCACAAAAATTATCATTTTAATGGCATTTGTTGTAATGGGACTGCAGACCAGTTTAGGATTCTCAACACTTTGCCAATACTGCCACTCCTGCTCTCCTGCTCAGCCTGCCTCAAGGGATGATCTGGCTGTTTAGACTTCTTTGTGCATGTCAGATGGAAACCCTGATCCTTTCTCCAACATGAATTCCCTCATCCTCATCCTTGAGCATCCACTGCTTGGCCTTCATTTGCATTGGCTATTTTTCTCCCCATGGGGCTTATCTCTGGCAGTGCCAGCTCAAAAGGGGGTCAGAGTTGGGTCAGAGGGATACTAATATATCGAGCCTGTTATTCCGTGTTCTTTAGATTACAAAGTTATGTCACATTGAAACAGCACACTATACCCCATAAGAACACTTGTTATGGGTCAATAAAGAATAAAGCTTTTTTTGGTACTGGAGATTGAACCTAGGGGTGCTTAACCAATGAGTCAATCCCCAGCCCTTTTTACTTTTTTATTTTGAGATAGGGTCTCAAAGTTGCTTAGGGCCTTGCTAAATTGCAGAGGCTGGCCTCAAATTTGCAATCCTACTGCCTCAGCCTCCAGAGTCTCTAGAGTTACAGGTGTGCACCACTGTGCCAGGCAAGATGAGACTTTTAAAATGCATTCACTGTTGAAAATGTAGAGTGAAAAAGGAAACTCACAAAAGAATAATAAAAGAAGTGAAAATTAAATCCCACCTCCTCAAGAAAACTACTATTAATATGTTAATAATCTTATAGTTTTTTCCTTCGTAACTTAGACTTTCTAAAGTAGTGATATTTTTCACACTATTTTATGTTTTTTCTTCTCTGAGCTGAAGAGGTCATTAGACACTCTTCCAAAGCACATTTGTCATAGCTACATGCCATCCCATCATCAAGAGAGCTCATCATTTTGATGGTATAAAGAAGAATTGAAAAATCATTCTGCAATTCAGAAGTAGCTCTCCTAGGTCTTTGAGTCATCGCTTAGGAATGACATTTGAGTAACAATTTAGCCTGACGACATCTCTCAACCACCCACTTTCAGTGCTTCCTGGACTCATAGTTTTACTAAGTGAAAGATGCAGCTGAGGGACTCAAAGGAGCTACTGGGGCCTCGCTACTCACGGGAGGCCTGCCACTCGGAATCTTCTTTCCAGTTCTTATAAATCTGCTTGGTTTTGTCTTCCTCCACTTGTTTTATTTCTTCGTCTTGTTTTTCCTTTACCAATTCTTTCTTCTGTTTAAAGAAACAGAAACAAGCATCGGTGAAAAAATCCAACAGTCTCTGTGAGGAGAGGGCAGTAGGCACCTGACTTCTGTTGAACCCTCTATGGCCCACGAGGGAGGCGATTTGGTATACACGGTACATGCAGCAGGTGTAAGTGCTACCTGGTTGTGGAATTCCAAAGCAAGTCACTGAACTCTCAAAGGCTCTTTCCCAAAAACAAAAAGGAGAAAACAGAGTTATAGTAAAGGTTAAATTTATTTATTTATTTATTTGGGGGGACTGGGGATTGAACCCAGGAGCACTCTACTACTGAACTTCAGCCCCAGCCCTTTTTAAATTTTGAGACAGGATCTCACTAAGCTGTCTAGGCTGGCCTCCATCTTACTATCCTCCCACCTCAGCCTCCCAAGTCTCTGGGATTACAGGCACACACCACTGTGTTCAGCGATGAGGGTTAAACTTTTTTTTTTTTGGTGGTGGTGCTGGGGATGGAACCCAGGGCTTTGTGCATGCGAGGCAAGCACTCTAACAACTGAGCTATATCCCCAGCCCCGAGGGTTAAACTTTTTAAAGTGCCTGCGCAGTCCAATGTACAACACATAAAAACTCAGTAAGCTGAGCATGGTAGTGCATGCCAATAATCCCAGCTATTGGAGAGACTAAGGCAGGAGAATCCCAAGTTTGAGGCCAGTCTGGGCCATTCGGCAAGACTGTCTCAAAATTAAAAAATAAAAATAAAAAGGGATGGGGATGTAGCTCAGTACTATAGCACCACTGTGTTCAATCCCCAGTGAGAGAGAGAGACAGACAGACACACACACTCACACACACACACACACACACACTTTCAATAAACAGTCTTTTCTCTCAGGCATAGCACTTAGTTGCTCCAAATATATTTCCCTAAAACAAACACACTATTTCATGGAAACCACAGTAAACACCACTTTACAGTGGCTGACAGTTTCCACAGAATAACTGCACATTCCCGGAGCAACCTCACTGGGTCTTCACCTGTCCTCGAACCATATTCCAAAATGTGATTTTAGGAATATTTTTGTTGTTGTTTAAAAAACAGACAGATATTTTTAAAAGCATCCTTGGAGAAGGGAAAACGCAAAATAAATGTTAGTATTTCTCTAAAAAGGGGATTCATTTTTTTTTCATTGCGATAAAACACACATGACAAATTTACTCTCTTCACCATTTTTAAGTACGCTATTCCGAGGCCTGATGTGTCATCAAGGGAATTCATTTTAAACTAAAGAGAAATGAACAAACCAAATCACTAAGACCTAGAAAGTATTTTTTTTTTATTTTGATTATCTGGATGCGGCCTTCTGAGTGCTCATAATACAACTGAATTTACAACTTTGATGAACTAATGAAGCTTCAGTTAACTAAGTAATAAAGCAGGCTGAACAGGCCAGAGAGGACCGTTCCCTCCTCCTGTTCCCCAGCTTCCTTCTCCATCACAAGGGGTGGATTCTAGAAAGAAAAAAGATCTCCTTGCTGCAAAATTCTTGCTCCTTAACTAAAATATACATAAACCTTGATGTTGAGAAACTTGTTTTTGATCACTCTGGGAAATCATAAAGCACCGTTAATGTAGTGACAATTCATAAACTGCACTTCAGATGTAACTAAAGTTGTCCATCTACTGTTTTATTTTCTTACATTATTTTCCTGCCTCGAGCTAAGCTCCTTTTGTTTGCCAATACATGCATTATAAAAACCAAGGAACCGCTTTTGATGTTTGCAATGACTGTCAAAATTTGCCATCCTGAACTGAAGCTGTTTACAAGACTGAAATACATAAATAAGTGCTGCCAGCCACTTCCAAACTCAAACAGAAAAAAAAAAAAACCCCAAGGTGAAGAGCTCTGTTCTTCTTTCACATGCATATGTATTTATTTCTAAGTAACTAGAAACATGATTCCAACATCCAATCAGGATTGTCACGGATATTGTTGCTTAGGATAAGCAAGAAGTCAAAGACATGAGAACCCTGAAGGAAAATTATTAAGTGACTAATAAGCACAGGTAGCACTTGGTTGATAGGTGACACTCAGGTGACAGAGATGCTGTGTTTAGTAAGTCTCCTTTATTATCTGCACCACACTTACACAGGCCCAGTGGGGAAGGAGACAAAATGAGCCAGTTCACAGACTTAACAGCAGATGAGGTCTGGCCCTGACCTCTCTATTTCTTCAAAGCAGCCAGAAGACTTCAAAACTCATCTGAGTTACTCTAACAGCAGGACGCTGCCATTCATTACCCTTGTTCCAGAGAAACTTGGGAAGTGGGCCTGCTCACTTTCTCTCCAGTTCTCTGCCACTCCTTAGCCAGGTCAAGTGCAGTGTGACCTCAGTGCCTTTATCCCTGCAGCTCCCTCTGCCCCGAACACGCTTCCCCCAGACACTCACCCACATGGAGCCCTCCCTTGTTCCTTCAGGTCTCAGCTCCAGTGCCACCTTCTCTGACCTCCTCTCAAAAATAACAGCTTGACCCCACCAGCATGTCTCAGGGACTGCATCCTGCGGTATTTCCTTACCCACAGGGTGACCTGACATCAGCAATTCAACATGTGTGCCCTCCATTCAAAATACAAGTTCCCCAAGGGCAAGGATTTTATCTAATTTGTTCATAGAATGCGTCCCCAATTTCCACACCAGTGCCTAGCACACAGTAGGTACTCAATAAATGTTGAATGAATACAAGGATTCTTTGCCTTTCTCAACTGTCATCATTTAAGATGATGTAATGTTATCTGGGCAGTGCTACTGAAAACTTCTTTACTGCAGCTGTTTTGGTCAAGGGTGCACAGAGTCATCTCTCAGTACCCCTAGATACTGATCCCAGAACTCCCAGTGAATAGCAATATCTCTGGATACTTAAGTCCCTTATGTAAAATAGCCTAGTATTCGCATATAACCTACACACATGCTCCTGTACACTTTAAACCACTTCTTATAATATCTAATGCAATGTCAACAGTTGCTATAATGCATTATTTAAGGAATAGTGAGGGGAAAAAATCAGTCTGTATATGTTCAACAAAGATGCAATTTTTTTCCAAATATTTCTGATGCATAGTTGGTTGAATCCACAAGTGCAGAACCCATGGATACAGAGCGCCAATTGTATTACTTCATTGTTATGCATGCAGGGATCAGAATTCCAAAAATTCATCACAACTTTTCTTAGACATCAATAGACCTTTATTTTATTCATTTATTTATATGCAGTGCTGAGAATCCAACCCAGTGCCTCACACATGGTAGGCAAGCGCTCTACCACTGAGCCACAACCCCAGCCCCTCATCATGACTTCTTGAAGTCTCAAAACTTTGAGCTCTCCAAGTTCATGCCTGTCCTGTAGAGGGGTCAGGGAACTGATCACACAGTCCCTAGGAACACAGGCCTGGGCAGCCTCCTCCGCAGCCCAATCTCTCAGGCCTGGGCAATTTGGTAACTTTCCTTCATAGACTGGTATCTTACCCTGTTTTTTCAGACTATCTGTGGGTCAAATTCTACTTCAGTTTCCAAATGCCAATCTACGCCTCATTTATTTTGAGCAATGTATGGTCTGTTCACACTGAAGCGTGATGGGCAACGTGGAATTTGGTCAGGAGGGAGAATGTCGCTTCTAGACGATGGGGAATAATCTAGTGCCTGCGGGGGTTCCTGGCTCAGTGAACAGGGACAGCACAAGACTCTGCTCTTCCTCCAGAGCCAGGCTCACAGAAACAAGGAGCACACCAGTGACTGCACTGGAATTCACTGCTGCTGCCAAGGGTGGCGCGCCATTTATCACGCTCTGAAATCTGTCTCCCCCTCCCACCCTCCTGTGTTCGCAGCAGCCCAGGATATCGCCTCTGCCTTGGCTCATCGGTGACTGGTTCAGCAGATACATCTTGGCATCTGTTCTTTCCATGACATTCAACACGTTCCCAATTCGGGATTAAACGGGGGAAAGATGAATAGCTGTGTGTGCAGCTTTCAAGACAGATTTCACATTCTGTGGCTTAATTTCATTCCTGCATGAGACTAATTAACTAATTTGTGAAACATTAGTGGAAATGGCTATGCGCTGAGCTCCCTGAAGACAGAATGTAAGTCTTTTACCTGGTAGAATCCATATGCCTTCATACGATTGATAGAATCTGTCAACATTTGTTGAATATTTCTTGATGAACTGCAGGATGACTAAAAATTAAAGGAAATACATTTTTATAGCATTTAGAGCTGCAATGCAATTTCAGAAGCTAATCTGTCAATGTGTCCCTGGTGTCATTGTTCACTAATGCAACCCCCAACCTGACACCAGTTTCCCTTCCAGTGGCACCTGAGTTTCTGAGCGAATCTTGACTAGCACTGAGCACAGGAGGCCTCCCTTAGCATCCCCCACCCCCATAGGGCGTAGAAATGAATGACTGCCCCATGAGCCAGAAGCTGATAGTTTGGTGTGTCTTGCTCCCATCTGGCCCTGGGGAACCGGAGATGATTTCTAGACAAAACTTTACTCCTTAATTTAAATCCTCTTCTTGCTCCATTTCTGTATCCCATCCTCTGCTTTAGTTCAGACAAAAGGAGTGCCTTCGTCCATGGCACAGAATTGCAGGATGCCTTGCCCCTCCAGGACCGGAGATGTGTGGGGAGCACCAGTTTGCTGCCACGGAGCCCTGCCAACTGCCCTACCTGGCTCACATGCCACCTCACTTCCCTGCCCTGGTTATCCAGTATCTAGGTTTCTGGGGCTCTAGATGGATTTCCCAATAGGCAACTTTCCAGATCCATTGCTTGAATTCTCCAGCATCTTTCCTTCCCACCATGTGCTGACCCCTCTGGCACTGTGAGTGAGCTGACAAATCACAATAGACTGCTCTTAAGACCTCATGGCCCTGTTCCTGTCCCTGGCCTGAGTGCAGAGCTCAAGCCAAGTCCCAGCATGAGTATCTCTGTGCTCTGTATAGCCCCAAACAGCCACCCCCCAAGCCACATAGCTGTGACTTACATGACTTGTTTCTGAGGATTCATTCCTGAATTTTGGCACAGATTAGAAATTGTCAGCAAATTTTCATCAAAAGGTCAGTGCTGATATTCATAAGGGTACTGCAGGGTCATTACCATGCCATGGAATCTAATCATGTTCTGTATTCACAGCAGCTGGACATATGGCTACCCAGCCACACTGCATTTCCCAACTGCCCCAGAAGTTAGATGTCCCCAGGCAAATAAGTGATCTCTAGGCAGGTGATAACTGGCATTTGCCTCTTCCATCCAGGCCCTCAAAATCTTCTTCACACACTCCTCCAGGCTACTACCTGCTCCTCTGGGCCAGAATGCTAACAGTAGCCATGCTTCCCCTAAAGATAGCAGAGTCCCTGAAGGCTGAGGCCCTGAATGACTGTGTGGAGCTGAACCCTCCTGAATCAGAACATGCAGCCCAGACTGTTATAACAGAGAAAAGTAACTTCCCATTTTGTTTTGTCCATTGCATTTTGGGTCTGTTTGTTTCAAAATTTTAGTTACCTTATCTGATAAAACTGGCCACAGTAGCTACGGGTGGCACATTTGAAGCTCTCTGCTGAGATGATTTTTATTCATCATTGGTGGTATAATTAATCCTAATTCTACAAACAGTTACTAGTCACAAAGGCCTCTGATGGCCAGGTTCTGATGAGTGACCTGGTAATATTTTTACTCCACACATCTTTGATGGATGGGCCACATGAGCCTAATTTTCAGATGAGGAGACTGAGTCTCAGAGGAATTGCATAGTTTTCTCAGGATCACACAGCTGCCTTGTGCCGGGGTTTATGCCTTTTTGCTCTGTTTACATTGTAGTGATAGGAAAATTTTCTTAATTACTTGGCAACAGAAGGAATCCATAGGTTTTCCAATCACCACTTACCGTATTCCCACTCATTTTCTTTCTCATTTTAATATTACAAAAGGCTATTCAGCTGCTGTGCACCTAAAGTAGAAGAGTGCAGCAACCATTTCCTTTATTTATAAACAAATTAGGACTGTTCCAACAGGTTTTGTGTAAGTCCGTCTATTCAAGAGTCCAGGAAAACTTTGAAAATCGTTGGATGCATTTCTACCATAAGGAATGTGAGTTTTGAAAGTGGGCTTGCTCTCCCTTTCCTCGTGGATCTAAGCTCCACAGGACACTGTTCTGCAAAAAGGATCCGTTTCCCATATGTTAGAAACTGGGAGGCAGGCGACCCTCCTCCACGCTTTTCTCAAGTATTAGAGATAATTCCCACAGGTGCTGGGCCGCACTCTCAGAACCAGAGGAACCAGACCTACTGCTTGGGATCTATTAAATGTCCCTGAAGACTCGTGTCTTTCAGGCTTGGTCCCCAATGTGACACCACTGGGAGGTGGTGGAACCCTTAAAGAAGTGAGGCCTAGAGAAAGGACCGCGGGTTCTTAGAGGCCGTGCCCTTGACAGGGCCTGGTCCCCTTCTCTTCCTCTCTCTTGTTTCATGGTCATGAAGCTCTGCTGCACTCTCCCCTTGTCATAGGCCCAAACAACAGGGCCAATCAATCATGGACCAAAATCTCCCAAACTGGTGGCCAAAATAAGCCTTTTCTCTTCACAGATTGATCATCTGTGATTTTTAATACAGGTGGAAAGCTGCCTAGCACACCTTTGAAATGTGTGCTTGGAAAAGTGGCGCTTTCTCACTTGATTTTTAAAGGGTCTCCGTTTCTTCCTCTCGTCACCACATGCCCTTCCTTTCTTACTGCCATTTTCTGTATGCTCTCTCCTTTTGCCCTTAGCAGATACGATGAGACTATTAATATACTAAAACTACCCAAAACTTAAGTACCGATACGTGTGCCAGACAGTGCAAAGGGAAGGCATGGTGCTCGGGACTAGGTGTCCCTGTGGCGGTCATCACCGTCTGCGTGGTGGTCAAAGCTGACGTACTTTGTCTGTCTTTAGAGTTTTAGGTTCTGTTTTCAGCATATCAAAGTTCACAAGTTGGTTCTTGAATAAAAGAATTTTTGCCTAAAATTGACTCATTTAACCACCACTCCAGGGGTAAGTACTTCTATTCAACTAAACCACAATGTAAACCCTAAGGCTAGTATATTCCAAGAACCACATTTTTAAAAATTCAACTCTTCTTTGGGCTGGGGTTGTGGCTCAGGGGTCAAGCGCTTGCCCATCACATGTGAAGCACTGGGTTCGATCCTCAGCACCACATAAAAAAAAAAATTTAAATAAAAGCACAATGTTCACCTATGACTAAAAAAAAAAAATTAAATTCAGCTCTTCAAGGTAAAGTAAGATTTGCCATTATTCCAAAGTGTTAAAATACTATGAAGAACTTACAACTTGCACAGAAAAGTTACATCTGCTAAATCTAATTTTCTACAAATCCAGGAAACACACCCAGTACAGTGGAATAGACGAAAAGTAGTGTCATCCAAAAGAAATTTCCTTTATTAAAAAATAGATTAATAGGCTCAAAAGTGATGGCCTATGATGGAAAGAGCAGAGGGAGACTACCTCTAAGCACTCCCAGCATCCCCAGAAGGATGAAGAGCCTTCTCAGAGAGGGTCCCAGCCCTCTCCGAAGCTTCCTTAGGACGCTGAGTTCCAGAGAATACACTCATTAGTTATTGCTACACAAAAGAAAAGAAGGAACAAAGCCACTTTACCTCTATAATTTTGGCTTATCAAGCACTTTCAGGTCTAATACATCATTTGACCTTCAGATCAGGTATCAGAGGAGATAGTATTCCAAAGAGGTAAGGTGGCCTGTCCATAGGTAGAGGGTGAGGACTGCAGTCCCTGTCATCTCCATGCCTAAAGCTTGCTCCTCCTATGGGTCTCTCAGGGAGAACATGTGTGCCCTCTCGTGCACGTCAGCCTCTGCAGTCACCTCCCATTTTCTACCTCAAAGAGACCTCAGCAGCTGCTGAAATGCAGGCACAGTTGAAGCAAGCCTGTCTGTATGATTTGCTCTGTTTAAAATAAACACCATCATTAATATTTATGCAAAGCTCCCCAAAAATAGAGAAATTGAAAGCAAACAACATCAGAAGCTAATGGACCTACTGCAGATACCAAGTAAGAATGAAAATCCCGATTAGATCTAGGAGTGTAGTCCACCCAGATTGGCCAAAAGATAGTCTTTTTAAAATAACTACAAAATACTGTTGGAAGTACAGCAATTCAATCTACACAAACAATCAAGTAACAAATAGATGCTGCTGACAATATCCATATTACATGGTTATGAAGTACATCCCCCCAGGGATTAGGTGTCCTATGAGAAGGATTATCCTAGTATATCCACTTTTTAAACTGGTTTGAAAAAACATGAATTCTGGCTTTTAAATTAATATTTGCTTTGTTTCAAAGTAGGGTTCAGCAATCAGACAAATGCCAAGTGCCTTTAACTTCAACTAAACCCAGAATCTCCAGTAAACACAACAATTTTGGCATTTCATTTCTGCACTAAAGATGAAAATGATGAATTGACAGGATAAAATCAAGAATTTATTTTTGGAAAAATACTACTAAGTTTTTACTCAGCCTATTCTCCTGCATGTCTTAAATCCATGGTGTTCCTTAATAGAATGGTGGTTAGAATCATAACCTCCTCATGTGGAGCTAGTGTGCCAGATCGTTCACCGCCTCCAGATCCCTAGCAAACAGAAGAGGGCCCCTCACTTAGTAAGGCCTCAATATATTTTGCTCAATGAATGAACACACGTGAAATTCATAGAACACCATTTCAATGATTAACAGATACTCAATCTAGTTCTACTATTAATCAAGACAACCTGAATTCAAGTACTCTGAAAATCAGTGATCTAGAACTCACTCCTTTTGTTAACCAGGTCATTGACATAATCAGATCATCCTCTTCCCAACCATCTTAAACTAAAAAGGAAATTTCTGAATGATGACTCTAATATTGTTTTTTGAGCACACCAGGACCTAGCATTTTTCTTCTAAAATAAGGGGAGGTAAAATAATGATGTGTTTTGATAAAGTTACAAAGAGTAACAACAGAAAGAGAGAGAGAGAATATTTTCCTAAGGCAAATGGATTAACAAGATGAGAAGTGAGACAATACATTTTCTTGCTGAAAACACGGTACGTGCTCCCTATAGTGATGTTACTGAAACATGAATCAGGACGATGGAGACCCGAGGAAATCTTTGCCCCATTTCTC